AGATAAATTTTAAAAATTAAAGTACTGGGGCTGGAGAGATGGCTCAGCAGTTAAGAACACTGGTTGTTCTTGCAGAAGACCCGGGTTCGAATCCCAGCACCCACATGGCGGCTAACAACTGTCCGTAACTCCAGTTCCAGGGCATCCGACAGCCTCTTCTGTCCTCCACAGGCATTGCATGACATGGGTGCACTTACCTGCATGCAGGCAATACATGCATGCACATAAAATAAAAATATTAAAAAAAATTAAAGTACTGCAGAATTTAAAAAAGATGTGGGTCATAAGATTGAAGGAACACACCACATCTTGAGCAGGTTGTATAAGAGTAAACCCATAAACAAAGTAGAGAAATGCAAAAATATTAGAAGCAAAGAGAAAATCCTAAAACTGCCAGATGAACTACAATATGGATAACTGATGTTCATTGAGAATGTAGCCTGGAATAGGCAGATTCCTCAGCTTTGCACACATGAGGTCATGTAATATTTATAAAAGCCTTCTAAAGCAGTCCTATTATTGTCACATTATAGATTAAGTGATGAAGCCTAGAGAGTTATATTAACCAGGAGCATCTAATTATGCGTAACTGCACTCTGCACTAATCAGGATGGTAAGATGACACACAGAGCTGCCTTGAGAAAGAGTTCTTTGGTGGGGGTACATCACTCTATGCAGGGCCACATGAGAAGAACATGGGTCAGTCAGGCGGCAAAGAATGGACCAGGATTACTATTGTGCATTTGGTGGGGATTAATGGATGAGACAGTAGGCAAGCTGCAGGTTTAGGAATGGGTATTTAAATAATTTTGGCAGGCTGTCCCCAGATTGATGCTTGCTGTGACAGGGGTAAGGGGATTGTTGGCTTGGTGTGTGAATTTGATAAAGGAGGTGGTGGGCTGGCTTGAAGGCGCTGCTGGTAGGCAGGTGGTCTACTACCCAGTGACTCCTGTCTCCACAAAGCCTTAGGATGGCAAAGTGTTGCAGAACAAAAATCATACTATATGCTGCGAGTGCCAACTACACACTGGGTGCTTGAAAGAAGTCTAGGAGAATAACACCCTCCTCAAGAACAACAACCCAGGGTTTATGGACATAAGAAGCACCGGTAAAGGAAGAAAGTGGCGAAATATGGCAGATATTTATGTTGATTGCTTTAAAAAAGTGATTTCTTGGGGATATTTAGAAACAAAACAGGAGCCAGCGTGGTGGCATACACCTTTAATCCCAGAACTCGGGAGGCAGAGCAAGGAATCAAGGCCAGCCTGGTCTACATAGTGAGTTCTAGGCCAGCTGGAATTGCAGAGAAGACCCTGTCTCAAAAAGAAAAAAAAATGAAACAAAATACATAAATAAAAAACTTAATACAGGTGAGGTCAGATTTGATAAAACATTTTGAGATTCCTCATTTGGGAGAATGATGATACCTACCTTTTAGTTTTTCTTCTTTGAGACGCTTCTCACCATGTTGCCCAGGCTGGTCTCAAGCTGATGGGCACTAGTAGTCCTTCTTCCTCAGCCCCTTGTGGAACTGGAATTATTGGTGTATACCACCACACCCAGTGTTACTTAGGATAGCATGTTTAAAATGTTAGTAGTTATTTACTACAGCAACAATAGTAAATGGTATAACCTTAAGACAAAGGATGATAAAATTTGATTATTCAACATATGACTGGATTGAACACCATCTCGCTCTTTTTTTTTTTTGGTCTTTTTGAGACAGAGTCTCCCTGTAGCCCCAGCTGTCCTGGAACTCACTATGTAGACTAGGCTGGCCTTGATTGCTTGCTCTGCCTCCCGAGTGCTGGGATTAAAGGTGTGTGTCACCATGCCCGGCTATGAACACCATCTCTTAAAGGACAAATTATGAAATTATGAACAATACCAGATGATTATAACTGTTATGTTAAAAGCTAATTCTTGCTACTTGTTAATAGAAAACTGATAGAGAATATTATGTGAAACGGGTAAAGGATAGTGTGTGATGCTAAAATGAAGGTGTACTAACTCCATAGTAACGTGTGCCTAGCACCACCTCAGGTCACTTTGAAAATGTCCTTTAGTAGCATGCACATGAACAAACGCCAATGAGAATAAACATATATAGTGAAGAAAGGTAATCTGAACAAATCAATAATTATAGAAGAATAGAGTCTAAAAAGAAGCTTATTATGAATCAGATGCCATGTGTGGAACGTGTTTGGATGACCCCAGTTCTTGCAGACCTGTAATACAGAAGTTCGTGATGTACTGAAACACTAAGGGGATATTTGAAGATACTGAGAAATTACTTTTATTTCAGAGGCACGGTGATTTTCTGTTCTCAGGAAAGGCATGTACTAGTTACAGTTAGGTGATGACAGCTTAGATTTGCTTCAAATAATTAAGGTGGTGATGAAACGTGGAGTCAGGTGAAGACTGCAGGCATGGCAGGCAGCAGCCATGTGCAGCAGCTAATGTGGGTCCTCAGTCACATGAGCTGTGTTTCATACTAGCAGCACTTAACTCCCCTGCAGCTGTATACAGTTAGCAACTGCTCTATTAGTGCCAATGCAGAAAATGTCCATCTTACAGATGTTCTAGTGGATCAAGTGGGTATAGGCCAAATGCAGTTTTGACCGCATGGGATGCTCACTCTAGACGCTGTTGAAACTTGTCCTAAGCCTGTAATAATTATGGAGGCCAAGTGTCACAGAAGCTAGAGCGGGAGAGAAGTAATCAGAAGGGACGTTTGTACTGTTTTACAGTTGGCTGTGTGCGTGGTGGGTGTCATGGTTGAGGATGCAGTGCATTTTCAAGATGGTTTTCGTGGAGTAAAGTCCAAGCCTGTACATAGGCTTTGCCTTGGTATATGAGCAGTCTGCTTCAAGACAGTCTTCTACCACCTTTCCCTTTATTTAAGTCTCCCGGAGATGTGGTAGTGACCATTAGGCGGTGGAGAAAATGAGATGCAGTGACCTTTTCTACTGTACCTGTTGCCTGCATTGGTTTGCATCATATTTGGAACATCTCTGCTCAGTTGATGAATCAGTGGGCAACAGTTCTTTGACAGGACGCCAACAATTGAATTTCATGGATTTTAAACAATATTAGCACTGTCATGAAAGAGCTAGAGGAAAGCTAAACATTTTCTAAATGATTTAAATCTGTCTTCAGCTGGAACTTTTCACTGCTGTTGGGCCTTCATTTATCAGAGGCAAACACACACTGCGTGTGCATGTGTTTTTTTTTAATAAATAATTTATTGAGAATTTCATACATGCATAAAAGGTGTTTTGATCAAATCCATGCCCACTCCCCCGCTTCCAGCTCCCTCCACGTCTCCCTATCACTTTTTTTCTGATAACTTCATGTACTCTTCTTCTATAATCTTTTTTTAATGGGGCTTTTGGCTACTCTAACACTCCCCCTTTCCGAAGAGGTAACCCTAAAATCTTTTAAGGATTAGATAAAAACTCCCAAATATTTTCAACATTTTTGGTTTTTGGAATGGAGTAGGTTGCTAAGAGGCCGAAGGACATTGTGAGTTTTCTTTGGGGTCTTTTTACCCTAACTGCCTAGCCAATTCCTACCTCCTATTCTTATCACACCAGCCTCAGAAGAGGTTACGCAAATTGCCAATAGGGAATTGAGGCGTAGACTGCTCTGGCTTCTTCCATGCTGAACAGGGATGCAGGGTGAGGCAATTGGAGTACCCCTTCAGTGAGTCTATTTAAAAGACTCCCTAATTGCATAACTTATCTCAAGGAGGA